GCAAGGTTGCCGGATGAGTCAATATTACACTCCTGCTTTTTGTACAGTTTGTTATATAGCAACCGTTGATTCAGAACGATAATTTTATTTAGGTTTCAAAAATTCCCTGATATGAGTTAGCCATGACTTTTTAAGGTCCTTAAGTGTAAAGTCTCTTGACTTTTCCATGACTTGTCATTTTTACTTCTTTTTTTCTTTCTTTTTTTTTGTGTGCTTCCTAAATTGTGTATGGTAAGACGACCTCACAGCCGGAGACAACCCAATAGACCGCCTAGGAGACGGGGCTAGCTTTCATCCACAGAGAACCATTGAGTTTCATCACCAATATTGTCTTAATTCAGAGGCTAGACAAATATGGTCTCGACCCTGGTCAAAAATTGGAAGAAGAAGAAGAGGAATAGTTTTGTCTGTTTGTTTGTTTTTATAATATCTCATTGAAAAGCTTTTCACGTAAAAATTTCAGCGCCAAGTCTCTTGAATTGGGTCTCTTGCACGTAAGAGATACACCCGCGTGAATAGACTCTCTAAGGGTAAAATAGCACGGATATCATGATAGTTAAATTAATCAAGTCTGTGATCCCATTTCCATTCCATGGGGTAATTTTACACATTTTCCAGGAAATGTAATTATCACCTGAAGCAAAGTTGACATTATCCGAGAATGCATACGGTATTTTTCTTAGACATGCCTGTGCTCCAGTCAAGTAAAGTCGTTGCACAGAGGCCGTTCCAAGAAGTTACTTCTAAAATCTATTTTTTATCAAGTCATCCAAATTACCGAATTAAAAACCTGAATGTAGATACCGTAGTTCTTATTCAATCCTGCCCTCGAACTTAACAGAATTTATTGTGCCTGATTCCGAACAATGTCAACACTTGCGTCACGACAAAATCGGCCGCCAGGGCTCAAATCCACAACAAGGGACGACAGCGTGGAGGGTGAGGACACGTCCCACACTAACAACTCGATTTCGATATCATAGGGGAATCTGCAAACGACGTCAGCCGTCAAAGAGACGAGACTGCGCTGAAAGCGAAAAATTATTAATTTTCAACAACCGATTAAAATATTTACAATCCTCTCCGACCAGAGGTGGGTCGGTGTTTCTTTGATTGCATGTTTGAAATACTTGAAGCGCTGCTCTGTTGTCACTCGGCTTAAAATATCTTTTGTTTGCTCTGACGCACGGATAAAAATTCATTGGCTCGGGCCGAACTGTTTTGTTGAATTGAATGGAGCTTGCGCGCTGGTATCCGTTCAATCCATGTGACCAAACTTTTTGGTGGTCGTTTACGAATGCTCATTCAACACCAAAAAAGAACCATAAAATACTTACACGCAGATAAAAAATAATACATATTTGATTAATATGGGGAAGACAATGAAAGGTAATACAATCACTCAGATGATGCTGAGATTGATCGTTTTTTGTTCATTATTTCGACGTAATTATGTTGAAAGGAACTGGAAAAATAAAGTTCAATTAAATTAAATAATAAATCCATAGCTTTGCACTCAAATGCTAAAATTAGACCATTTTCTTTTGATTTCAGGCACTAAATTCTTTTCTATCTCTGATCAGCAACTTCTGGTCGTTCCTAGTCGGAGAAAATACAATTTAGAGGCCCTACACTACTGCCACTCCCACTCACATCGCGTATGTCACACGATCAAACCGAGCTATCAATATATCAAGATCAAGAGCTGTAATTGGTCCAAGTCATCAAATAACCCAATCGCAACACCTGACCTTGATGATTTGATGGCTCAATCTGATCGTGTGACATCAGCTTTGATGCTTTTACGTAACAGTTAATCCCTGTTAACCAAAAAGTTGAACAATGCGTTTAACAATCGTGACATAATTTGCAGAAACTTGTATGGCATATTGCTGATCCCAAAATTCATCAGTCATCATACGGAAAATTTTATTTCATTTTTTGCTCAACGAGTTGCTCATCCATCATCAGCGGGCGAAAAGCACCGTTGACCTCTGAACTTAACTTTGATAGCATTGCTTAGATTGTTATCGCGTGATTTTTGACTCATGCTCTCTTTTTCTGTAGGGCAATGTCCTGGAAAAATAATATTTCCAGACACTCGGCACCGTCGCCTGTCAACTCGACGATTTCCCTAGCCCGATGTTAATAAATAAACACGGCCGGGCGCTCGCTGGCGACAAGAAACAAAACGCAATGACGTGAAAGGGGACAGGAGTAGAAGGCATGAAGGCCGTCGTTTGATGTTCGGAGGGCTCGTGCCGCGCCGCGTATGCAATTCCCGCACAGTGGCGTGCAGCAGGAGGCCCGGCAGACGAGAGCCCCTGCGTAGTATGCAACCCCCCCTCCTCACTACAAAGCTCCGTGTATCAGGGGGTGGAATCCGATCAAACCGGTGCAGCGCGGTTCTCTCCTGGAATGCAGCCCTTTCCTGTAGGACGGAGGGAGATCGGTTCGGAGCGCGGGAAGGGGTTGCTGATCTGCTCGGATTTTTGTAGAGGGTTTTCATTTTTCATTCGATGCAGGATATAAAATGTAAAAAACTCTAAATATTTTATTTTCGGTTCGATAAAATTCGCACGGGGTGACATTCTCTCTTTTTCAATGAAGAACGTCCAGTGCGTAATGCGAGGGATCAAAAGTCCTCCAATAACAAGGCCAAGAAGAGCTTTGTCTCTGTAAATTAAGGGATTAATTGAAACGGAACGAAGGCAACTGTGGATTCAAATCTAGGTATTCAATTAAGCGCTATGTTACCTCGGGCTGGTACATAGTAAGGGTAGAGGGGGGTGGGGCTCTAACTGGAAGCACAGGTTTACCACTTGTGTGGTATTTGAAGAAGCAAAAAAAAAAGAAAAAAAAAGACCTAGCAACTGAAAAATTCTGGAGCTTGTTTTCAGCTCATACACTGAAAAAAAACTCCGGCCGAGGGTGCCGCAATTGCGGGCTATATGGACATACTGTCTGTTCCGGGCTCAAAGGCCGCAAATTCCGGCTGCTGGAGCCGTAGCTTCAGCCTCTGAACCCGGAGCAATCGAAGCTACGCCTCCAGCAGCCGGAATTTTCGGCTTTTGAGCCCGGAACGGACGGTATGTCTATATAACCCGTAATTGCGGCTCCCACGGCTGGAGTTTTCTTTCCAGTGTAATAAAAACATGTATCACTCATTGCATTAACTTCTGGTGCAGATGAGCTCATTCTATGTAAATGCGCATAATAATAAAATCACTTGATTATCAGCATCATTGCATTGCGGTGCAGTAATTGTTCGTACGTTCGATGTTCTTACAGCGAGGCGAGTTCGGAACGCCATATAAATGGAGTGCCGCTCAATTAGAGTAAGACGGGCGAAGCAAGTGGAAAATATGTTAAAAGTCAATAAAAACAAACTGTTGGGGAGCCCGAGTGAGTGTAAGAATATTGAATCGTAAAGTGAGTTATGAGAGTGTCAATTCTCTCTCCGATTCCATTATAATGTGGACGAGGGGCGGGTTGTACTGCCGGCCGCAGCGAGGGGATGGGAAATGGTGATGGGGGATGGGGGGGAGGGAAACGCGGGAGGGGAGATGAAATCGGCCGATTAACTGAATATTGAGAGCAAATTGATCGCTCAAGTTCCTTTAAACCGCACTTCTCCCCCATATCGCAACGGTCGTCAAGATAGAGCCACTCGCTTTGCCCTGCGTTTCGTTTTTATGAAAATCGTTCGCGGAACGAACCGAACACCGCGTGCTGGAAGCTGGAACAGTAAACGGTTTTAATACAGCTGTATCGGTTTTGTTCGAGTATCGAACGGCCCATGTGATGAGCGGTTTCTGTATCGCGCACTATTAACGTAGAGCAAATAACCAGTCGGAAAGAATTCGAAAGGGAGTTATTAATCATGCCACAGAAAATTTTATCCTAATGGTAACTTTGGCTTTTATGGCTTTTTAGCGTCAAAATGACGTAATGAGAAATGAACCTAACTCTGAATAAGTTTTGAAAATAAACGCCACTGTTCGATTTAATCGAGGAAACAAGTTTTTTCCCCTTTTCTTTTCAAGCCTCTCTTTCTGCGCAACTTTTCTTTTTAGTGAATTTGACGTGATACATTTAATTGAAAGAAAACAAACATCAGCATTTTAAAGTAGTAAAGACTGAGACTGAATTATTTTCCACTCATCCTTCATGATTTTCCGCGTGAAAACTATTTTTTAGTTACAGATATTTTTCTTTTCCGACATCGTACAAAAATAGGACAAAATTTCTACTTCTTTCATATAAAACTGCAGAGAGTTTCATTGAATGAAGGCCGTCTTCACATACATTTTACAAATTTATCGTCACAATCTTACGTTTTATCTGGATCTGTCTTTTCAGATTTATCCGTAGAATAGGCAACCTTTCGTCATATCGACGGTGAAACCCCTAAACCACGTATCATTTCGTTTGCGGTATTTAAAAATCTCCGATCCTGATTTATTTTTTTAACAGGAGAGGAAACTGACATCATGCCTTGAAGTTTTCTCAGAATTTGCTTCGCACAGAGAAGAAAAATCACAGACATGTTTACGAAGAGACGTTCGAGTTGTTCGCAATTTAAAAATAGAGTATGACAAAAAATCTGAAACGTTGCAAACCGAAATGCGTGGTTACATAATCGATACAACTACTCAGAGCATACAGATTATTCTTTGATGACAATGAATAAGCGATTGGTAGCGCACGGGCGAAACATACGACTATTCGTGCTCCTGGGTGCATTTTTTGCCTAAACGAAGAATTGAAGGCGAACTTACAGCCAGCATTCTTTCCGTGGGTGGCCAGGACTAGTATACGGCAAGTGCAGGGCACTAATCTCCAATTTTACACTAACACTACTTATGTCTAAGAAAATTCAATCTTAATCGGCTTCAAGCGACTAATTTAAAAATAATTTTGAACGTTTATCTTCGTCTCGAGCAGAGCTTAAGATATTTCACAAACGTTGTAAAAAAAACCTTTCTTTGATTACGCACCTTTTGCAGGGCAGCCGAGGATCTCTACTCTGAGGCAAACTGTTCTTCTGTGGACACTGTAAGGCAGAACTCGTACTTGACTCGCATAGACGGCTGGCATGAGTCGATGGGTCACCACCGTTGCTGTGTCGCTGTTTCCCATCAAGATCTGAAACATAAGAAAATATTCCAAAATATTACATGATGAACTTGTAATGGTTATCTTTTTCATCCCGAATAAATGGGTAAAAGCAGGGTATTTGTTTTGCCGTTGATATAAAATAGATCAAATTATTATACCTGAGTATCTTTCAGAGAAAATATCAATTTTAATACATTCAAACACCATCAAAACACGATTCTGTCACTAGCGCAATCCATTTTACCCACCTCAGACGAAGAAAACTATTCAACGGAATCGACGGGAACTTTCATCGAACATATATCTCGCATAAGAATCCACAATTAACAAAATTGATTTCAGATCTATCGAAAGGAACTCCTTTGAAATAATTGCATACTTCTTAATTCCTTTTTGGAACTATACTAAATTACATTTTAAAACAGTCGAAATGACTTGTTATGTGTTACTCCGGGGAATTTGCTGCTTGTAATTTTAAATAAAAATTGTTTCCACCATCCAACCTCCAAAGTCCAATCTCCAGAAACAGGTAAGTTTCCCCGATAATCTCTCGATAAAGATAAAATACGTCAAATTTTCAGACGCTGGACGGCCGTTCATTGTGACGTCATGCTGGTACGCGCAATAATTTGTCAAAGTGAGACGCAAACAAAAGACTGTATTAGCAGCAGCGGTGTACGGCGGAGAGCCATTAGTGTGAGTGCACTTTTTATTGGATAACACACCACGGGAGGCGAAGCGGGGGAGGGTAATAGCGTCGAAGCTGCGGGGTTAAATTCGCCTAAAATGTAGCCATGATTAATTATTTTGTATGCCTGCCCTGGTGCCAGGCTGTGGAAGAGAAATTTTGCACCCACTATATAAGCTATGGATGCTAACTGCTAAGTTCAGAGAATACTATATACGTATCGATTAGTAGCATTGAGAAAAAGTATGTATTATATTTATTATTATTTGGATTGATTCAATTAAACAGAGATTCGCATAGCCAAAAAGGTGCGATGTTACGACTGATAGCGTCTTTTATTCTACAGGGATGTCTTCTTTAATAGAATACCACACGAAAACAGTAGGGCGCCGGGCGCGTAAAATCAAGAATTATGGCTCTAGAAAAATTGGATCGCATTCTGCAAAAAGAAATCACGAGCATTGCAATGTTGCTAAGATTGTGCAACTTCTTTTGTCTTGGAAGAAAAACCTTATTATCGATAAAAAATTTATATTTTACTCGCTACAGCTATAATTTTAAGACAAAAATGACCATGTAAATTTCATATTTTTTCATGATTTAAGGCAATTTTATTGCAAAGGATGAAGTTGCACAATCTTAGCATCACTGCAATGCCTCTGGTTCCTTTTTGCAAAATGCAATCCAATTGTTGTACAGTCTCATCGGCATACACGAGTTATGAATCTTGAATTATACAAAAACCATCTAACGGCAGATTTGGCAGTTTGACAAGTTGCGGATATCTCAACATGCTTAATATCTAGACTGATAACTAATCAACCGTATTACGTAAGGAATGTAAGTAATTAGCTATCGTCGACTAAGTGACACTCCTGCAAAAATTCCAGAGGATAGTATGTATTTATTTCCTTTAAATAAATAGCAGTTAGAATGTTATCGGAACTGAGATTAAAATCCATTATGTAGGAGTTAAACTGTGTTCGTCTTGCTTAATTCAGCAATCTCAGAGAGTTATGGCATGCACTAGAAAAATGAAAAATCATATTTCAATAACTGCTTACGTATTCAAATATGGTAAATCGTTTCATTGACAAAACATATTAATTATTTTCAATAAAAATGAATGAAAATAATGAGCAAGTCTCTTTTCTATGATAAAATAACAGATTAGTTTTCTGATTGTATTGCTTGATTAAAATCAAATACGAATTGCAAAGGAGCTGATGGAGAAGCTAATCACATGACCTATCGGTTTTAGACGCTTCATTCATAATTAAAATCACGAAATATTTAATCCATATTCCGGAATGACTTAGTAATCCTGGATTTATCGATTTGTATAAAGGGAAGAAATCCCCCCTCCTTATTTCCTAATCTCACAATACTGGGTCCATAATTACTGGGGAACTCGAGGTATTGGGACGCACATTTTCACCGCGTGAAAATACCAAATAAGTAAATTCATGTTCATGCTATTTATATAGACCGGGCCGTGATATAATTTTACATTCCGTTTATTTTCACAAATTCTTCAAAAAGCGCGAAAAAAGTATTAAACGAAAAATCGGCAACGCTGACAGTGTGTTAGCAAAGGCAGGATCCAGAGTCACCAAAGCTCTTTGTTTTGCTGTCCGTTCTTTCTCACGCGTAGCCCCGGAGCGTTTGTCCCGATGACTTGCGATTTTCGGCCTTGAAGAATAAGCATCCCCGTTGACAGTTTTAAGTAAAAAAACGTACACCTCCCTTGGAAATATGTTATGATTGGATATTTTTTGCTACATTTGCCCACAACGTTGAAAAGAAGCATTAAAACGGTCGCTAATTATCGATCCGCTTGGATGCGACTTTAGGGAGCTGAGGTAGGAGTTTTTTTATTCTTCTTCTTTTTGACAAAATAAACGCTAAGGGCACCATTCACAGCATACATATTTCCGGTAATATTTAGAATTTCAGACCTTCTCCCTTTCGTCGCACCTTGCTCAAAGCTCTTTTTTTACGGAAACATTTTTTAACTAAATTTTAACGACATTTTAGTTATTATTGTGCAAATACTATTATTTACAGGCTTAATTTTTTGCGATTCATTGCTAATTTTATCTGGTATTCTTCACGTATTTACTTATAAATTTTCATTGTAAAACTACTTCCCATATTTTTGCTGACAAACACATTGAATTTAGAGAAACAATGGGATTTTTATGCATTCTATGTCAATTCTATCCATCTATGGTATGAAGACCGACTTTGATTCAGAAGATCGACATTTCTCGACCCAAACCGAAATAATAGAGCGGCTCAGGAAAGTAAAAATAGGGGCACTAAACATTCATAGACAAATTTTTATTTTTTTTTCTAAAAGTACAATGGAGAACAATTCAAATTCTAAAGGGTCCAGTTTGATTAAATCATTTAGGTCACCGTTGGCGTTAGAAAAAATTATAAAAATTGAAGCATGAAAGTGTCTGTCTCTCATTCTGCTGTTTAATAGATTTTGGAGAAATCTATAAAGCAGGTGATATTATTTCCTGGAGTTTTCTCATTCACTCCGAAGAATCGGCGATTTGTAAACTCACTAAAGCTAAATCAGTTCCAGTATTCAAACTGTATACATTAATTTTGGGCCTTTCTAAGTACATCGGGATAATATTTAAAGTTTGACTGCAGTACCCTGAACAATATTTTTTGCATCTAGATATGAACTTTTCTCGGTGCACAATCTGTTGTAGAACGGTGTCTTTTCTCCTCTCTAATTTGACCCCTGAAAGCATCCGACCGAGGAAAGAGACCAATTTCAGGTCTAGTGATTGATGATCCGGATTGAAGCGTCAGAGAGCTTTGAAGACAACCATGAAGTTTGCATAAAAGGCCCTTTATCTGCTACTCAATTTCACGTCTTATCATCCCGACGGAAGGACAATCTTTAGAGCTCCTTTTGGATAGCCCTTGAACTTTAATTGAGATTCGCGGACAGCTGAAGCCCGCAAAAACCAACCAGGCTGTGTAGCCAAATCATTAATTATATGAAAACTCTCGGAGATATTTCCCATATTCATCGACTGAAGTAGAAAAGCTTAAATGATCGAATCGCAGGAATTAAACTTCAGGGATTTTCCCTAGCTACCTAGTCAAGATAATAACTGTGCAGGTACACGATTAACAATTAGACGACTTATTTCAACTAAACAAGTAAGTGCGCACAACAAAATATCGCACAGTTTGCTCTCACTTCTTCATCCTCTCTCAGCTGGTCTTACAGGCACAATGAACACACTTGGTACCGGGAAAAATATTGATTAACTCAATATCGACGGTGTAAATCCGCAACCATGTTTCTCGTTTGCGGTGTTTCTCCGCTATTATTTTATTTTTTTAAAGGAGAAGGAATCGAAATCATTTCTTGAAGTTTTCACAGAATTTTCTTAACACAGAGAAGAAAAATCACGGCAGTTTTTAAGAATTTCCTTTGAGTGGTTGACCATTTAAAAAATAAAGTATGACAGGAAGTCTGCCATGTCACAAACCAAGATAGGTAGTTGCGGACTTACACCGTTGTTACTATTCCCGACTTTGGAGTTGGGATTTTTCTTTGGGACCAATCCCGTGAAACAGGCCGTGGAGACAAAGCCTAACTATATCAGTACCACCAAAAAGTACCTAGTTCACATTATTGGAAAAACCTAGTAAGCAGCATTTTTAAAATCTCTAACAACTTTCCTTGGTGTGTTGAAAATTTAGTAGCCTTACATTACGCCGGTCATGAGTTATGGAGTTTCAAAAACTGCGAATGGCATCGGATTCAGTGGGGCCAACCTGTTGTTTTCCCCTGCTATCTCAAGATGACTAAAATTAAGTCAGGCACCTTTTGACTATTCGGTATTGATACCATCATGTGTGATACACTAGGTTTCGTTACACTTATTTTTGTCCTTTTATTCAGAATAATTTCTTATAATTTCTGACAAATATGTCTGAAAACGTAATTTCTTGAAAAAACGTAACAAGAAATGGAGGCCTTCTCGAGAGACGACAATTTTATTAAGGTACGGATTTTTTCTTCTTTTACCGTTGTTTTATGGGAGAGGACCTATTCTTGAGCCATGCCCCATCTCGGAACATTATTCAGTCCTTCCATAACCCCTTTATTTTTTCTCCTTTTTTCAGTCCGAATGTAAGAATCATCGCCAGTAGAACGACTTCAACACAATGTACCTATAAAGCTATCGGTATCAAAAAGCGTTTAAAGACCCAACGCCAGAGAACACGTCTGCGAATACAGTCGGCAGAGCGTCGATGTTTCCCTTTACGTATACGTATCTCAAAATGTTCGCCTAATTAA